CACATTGCGTGGCAGGCTGTGGAGTCGCTGTGACGTCGGTTTAAAATCTGCTAAATCACCAACAAATACGATGGAAATGATACAAAATTTGCATTGCTGAGTGCGGTTTCAAAATGGAGTCCCGGCATTCCTACATCTACTTTATGTTCTGACTTTTACTGTTCCATATCTCCATTACTATAATCACATAAATAGATTTGCTCCCACTAGCTGCCGTTTCTGTATCTGACAATCCTGTAGACTTCATGATACACAGCTACTGAAGTAAAACTCCGACCACAATGGGTGCGCATGGGCCAGCCTTGACTCACCGACTTACATTGTCAGAGAGCAGAAGTGAAGAACAGCTGTAATATTTCAAATTTATTGTGACTTCCTATCTCGGTGACAATGGCCACCATGACTGATAAAGAGACCATGACCACCATGGCTAATAAAGAGACCATGACCACCATGGCTAAGAGACCATGACCACCATGGCTAATAAAGAGACCATGACCACCATGACTAATAAAGAGACAATGACCACCATGACTAATAAAGAGACAATGACCACCATGACTGATAAAGAGACCATGACCACCATGACTGATAAAGAGACCATGACCACCATGGCTAAGAGACCATGACCACCATGGCTAATAAAGAGACCATGACCACCATGACTGATAAAGAGACCATGACCACCATGACTGATAAAGAGACAATGACCACCATGACTAATAAAGAGACCATGACCACCATGACTGATAAAGAGACCATGACCACCATGGCTAATAAAGAGACCATGACCACCATGGCTAATAAAGAGACAATGACCACCATGACTGATAAAGAGACCATGACCACCATAACTGATAAAGAGACCATGACCACCATAACTGATAAAGAGACCATGACCACCATGACTGATAAAGAGACCATGACTGATAAAGAGACAATGACCACCATGGCTAATAAAGAGACCATGACCACCATGACTGATAAAGAGACCATGACCACCATGACTGATAAAGAGACCATGACCACCATGACTGATAAAGAGACCATGACCACCATGACTGATAAAGAGACCATGACCACCATGACTGATAAAGAGACCATGACCACCATGGCTAATAAAGAGACCATGACCACCATGACTGATAAAGAGACCATGACCACCATGACTGATAAAGAGACCATGACCACCATGGCTAATAAAGAGACAATGACCACCATGACTGATAAAGAGACAATGACCACCATGACTAATAAAGAGACAATGACCACCATGACTGATAAAGAGACCATGACCACCATGACTGATAAAGAGACCATGACCACCATGACTGATAAAGAGACCATGACCACCATGGCTAAGAGACCATGACCACCATGACTGATAAAGAGACCATGACCACCATGACTGATAAAGAGACAATGACCACCATGACTGATAAAGAGACCATGACCACCATGACTGATAAAGAGATAGTGGGACACAGAGAGACCTAGGCAGCTATAAACCCCAACAGTAGCCCTGCCGGTCACTGCTCTATCCATAACTCAAAGAACATTCTTGGAGATACAATTTATAAATCTTTGCATTTGTCTGATCACATTCATATGTACAGCCAAGGAACCTTGGATATCAACCTCAGAAGACAATTAGTCCTCTTTTGAGGTTTTTTTCTGCAGCCAGTAACCCCCCAGCATGTTATCCTCGGTGTCCATACACACAGAGACCGGAATCAACATTTTTTGGCTGGAAAAAATACCCAGAACTAGTGGGCTTCTAGAGGAGTTTAGCTGTAAAAAAAAAAACTGAAAACACTGACAAACGCGGCAAAACGCTGTAAAACACCGGAAACTGGCATTTTTGGACTTTTTTTGACCAAAGAAAAATTTATTTTTTAAATTAAAAATGCCAATGCAAAAAAACTCATGTTTTTAATGTTACCAGCGTTATCAAAAAGCCCCGTGTGCATGAGGACTTAAAGACACCTTAGGAGATTTACTAAGGCTAGGTTCACATCTGTGCAGGTGGTGCCACTGCGGATCTGCTCGAAAATCCGTGCAACCGCACCACCCGCGCGCAGAGAAAAGCAGACCCGCGGGCAGGTGTCATTAGTTCTAATGGCACGCCGCCCGCACTGGGAAACTTCGGCTGCGTTTTCGAAAGAAGTGCAGGGACTTCTTCCCTGCGTTTCACGGGGCACAGGAGTCCATTCTAATGAATGGGCTCTCGTGCCCAAGCAAAACGTGGCCCACACGGCCGTATAGGTGTGAACCGGGGGCGAGTCCTCATCCACACGGGATGTTTTGATAACGCTGGTAATGTTAGCTGTGTAAAGTCACGTTAAAAACCGGAGTTTTTCAGCTTTTTTTAGCGTTTTTGCATTAGTGTTTAGTAAATCTAAAGTTCTGGCATGGAAAACGTAGTTCAGAAACAAAGTTCAGACTCATAAGAAGGAATCCTGGAGAGGTCCCCCGCGGTCTGCTGATGTCTGCGCCTTCTTTAGTACACAGTTATATTATATTTGCATTATAGTTTTATTTTATGTATTATATTCTTTATTATAATTGTATTCTATTCTATTATATTGTGCATATTTAGATTAGATTACATTAGATTTGTATTGTATTACATTGTATTTGTATTATATTTTTATGTAGTCCAGTAGCATTCTGACATGGCAAGCTTGGCAAAAACAAAGTTCAGTCTGATAAGAATAAATCCTGGAGAGGTTCCCCGCGGTCTGATGGCTGCGCCTTCTTCAGTACACAGTTATAATACATAAAATAAAACTATAATGCAAATATAATAGAATTGTATTCTATTCGAATGTATTGTGCGTATTTATATTAAATTACATTAGATTTGTATTGTATCACATTGTATTTGTATTATATTTTATGCAGTCCAGTAACATTCTGACATGGCAAACTTAGCAAAAACAAAGTTCAGTCTGATAAGCAGGAATCCTGGAGAGGTTCCCCGCGGTCTGCTGATGGCTGTGCCTTCTTTATTACACAATTACGATATATGATACTTTATTATACAGGATTTATACTCCAAAGACATGCTGGTAGCAGGGGCGGACTGACAACTCATGGGGCACCCGGGCAAAAGGGGATCATGGGGCCCGTGTCCTTGCCTAAACTCAAAAAAGCCTATGAAAAAGGTACCAGGGGCATCTCATGGGGCCCCCTACTGACCCCAGGCCCTCGGGCACTGCCTGAGTTTCCAAATGGTCAGTCCGCCCCTGGCTGATAGGTGAATTGGTTCCTGTCTAAATTGTCCCTAGTATGTGTACGTATGAATGTGAGTTAGGGCCCTTAGACTGTACGCCCCTTGAGGGTCAGGGACTGATGTGAATGTACAATATATATATATATATACATATATATATAGATGTAAAGCGCTCCTTAAATTGACAGCGCTATATAAGTATCTGAAATAAATAATAAATAAAATATAGGGCCAACAGTTTAGGCAACATGAGGGCAGACGGGGCAATTACAATACAAATGAATACAGGAGGACTCAGAGGGCCCGGCTCGTTGGAGCTTACAATCTAAGATATTTGCATTGTGATACAATTTTTGCATTCTATTGTATTGTATTTATATTGGATGACATTATATTCGTATTATATTCTATTTTTTTATTATGCTGCATTGCATTTTTATTAGATAACATAATATTTGCATTATATAATTACGCAGTAACGTTCTGGCATGGAAAAACTTGGTCAAAGTTCGAATGAATACTAACGAATCCTCGAGAGGTCACACAATATCTTACAGCATTTTGCTAACAAATTAATTCCAGTGAAGGAAACTCGCAACATTGTATTTCAGGGAAAGGGGCCAAAAGATGTCTAAGTATTCGGCTGCAGAATAATGTACGGCTCCATGTATATATATTTTTTTTTATGGGTTTTCAGTACAATTTTAAGCCAAAAAAATGCACATTTTAGCATGTGTGTAAAAAAATACAAATAAAAAAAAAATTGGGAAAATTGGTCCAGCAGGGAAAGGATCACAGAGACCAGCGGTGGTGTTTTCTCCAAAATATTTTTTTGTTTTGTGGATTTTCAGAACTATTTTAAGCCAAAAAAAAATGCACATTTTAGCATGTGTGTAAAAAATTAAAAAAAATAAAAAATTGGGAAAACTGGTCCAGCAGGGAAAGGATCACAGAGACCAGCGGTGGTGTTTTCTCCGGTCTCTTCATCCACCTTGGCTATGGGCCTTGGCTGTCTAAATAGACTCTACATTCCTTCTCGCCAATATGAGAGGTCCTCTTACATGGTCTGCTGGAGCGGACAGCTACTTGGACCTTGTGAATGAAAACACAGCCAAATATTCGGTTTTGCTGTCCAATACGTGCTGATCAAATATTGTCTTTTAATCTGTCACTGGAAGCAACACAGAGGTATGACCTCAAACCAGCAGTTCAAAACTAATCTTAAAAAATATTATTTTATTGAAAGAATAGCTGATGCTTGGAATAGACTCCCATGCTTGGGACAAACAGATATATACTCAAAAAAAAAAAGTTTTAAAAAAGTATATAAAGAAAATAAAATGGGACAACTTCTGCCGTCGCTTTTCTATGTTTCCTAAGCACATTTGAAATTAAAAATATAAAAATTAAAAAAATTAAGAAAATTGTTGCCAATTGATATTTACTAAACTGTGATTAACTTTAACAATTCCTTCTTCCCTTTGTCCCATCGTTTGTTTTTTTTTTTTGCTGTTCTAATGGAAAATTTTCATTCTGCTATTTGTTAGAAAAATATATGATATTTTTATCTGTATATTTTATACCAACAATATGATTCTAGAACAGGTTTTTTTTTTTTTTAACTTTTTTCAACAACATGAAGGAGCCCTAAACCCTGGTTCACACTGCATGCGGGGTGGTCAGTAGGAAAATGACACCTATATTGGTAATCAGTGGGAAGAATGTCCCTTACATTGGTGGTCAGTGGGAAGAATGTCCCTTACATTGGTGGTCAGTGGGAAGAATGCTCCTTACATTGGGGGTCAGTGGGAAGAATGCCCCTTACATTGGGGGTCAGTGGGAAGAATGCCCCTTACATTGGGGGTCAGTGGGAAGAATGTCCCTTACATTGGGGGTCAGTGGGAAGAATGTCCCTTACATTGGGGGTCAGTGGGAAGAATGTCCCTTACATTGGTGGTCAGTGGGAAGAATGTCCCTTACATTGGAGGTCAGTGGGAAGAATGTCCCTTACATTGGAGGTCAGTGGGAAGAATGTCCCTTACATTGGTGGTCAGTGGGAAGAATGTCCCTTACATTGGTGGTCAGTGGGAAGAACGTCCCTTACATTGGTGGTCAGTGGGAAGAACGTCCCTTACATTGGGGATCAGTGGGAAGAACGTCCCTTACATTGGGGATCAGTGGGAAGAACGTCCTTTACATTGGGGATCAGTGGGAAGAAGGTCCCTTACATTGGTGGTCAGTGGGAAGAATGTCCCTTACATTGGTGATCAGTGGGAAGAATGCCCCTTACATTGGGGGTCAGTGGGAAGAATGCCCCTTACATTGGGGGTCAGTGGGAAGAATGTCCCTTACATTGGTGATCAGTGGGAAGAATGTCCCTTACATTGGGGATCAGTGGGAAGAACGTCCCTTACATTGGGGATCAGTGGGAAGAACGTCCTTTACATTGGGGATCAGTGGGAAGAAGGTCCCTTACATTGGTGGTCAGTGGGAAGAATGTCCCTTACATTGGTGGTCAGTGGGAAGAATGCTCCTTACATT